ACCACAACAAGCATTAAACTGAAATGTTGTTCTGACGTACAGGCACAAATACGTAATTGGGAATAAAACTTCAAAATTTGCTCATTAAAACTACTGTGTAACGCTACTGTATATTTCCTTAATTTTTCACACCAACAGGAAACTAGTTAAAGCCTCTTATTCTCTTAGAGGTCCTTACTCGTTATTACACACATTTTGACTTGACAAGATATGGCGTCATCCACTTTGATCAATAACAGTACATCCATGGGACAATGCACATCGTCAACTTGGCAACGTTACAGTCGTTACATTTGTAGCGGTTTGTCGTGTTGCGAGGTCGTTCAACCCAAAGACAAAGGTCAATGACCCCAGGGTATCTGGTCTGAGCATCACCCGTATTTTCATATAGAAGACTGATAAGTCAAAATAGTTAAAATTAAGTTAAAATGGGTTTGGACATTGGCATTGACACTGATGTCTCGCATATACATAAGATTTTAACTGCTACCAACGAACCATGTACAGTACACTGAACTTTCAATAGTCTAGAAGCAAGTAGGTGAGTGAATAGAATCAAAATCAGACACATACGGCTTACTTATTAACTAACTCCCCCTATCTACATATCCGTGAAGTGCACTTCTTGTTAAAAAGAAAAGGATCAATAATTTCAACTCTGGTATGTTTGTGAGCTACAGTCAAAATATTCAGTCAAACCAATGACAAAGCATTCAGGGGTCAATTAGTGGGAAACCATTCGATTACGTTACTAAAACTAATCTTCGAACACGAATCTCATCAAATGTGCATTTTTCTCGAAGCAGTGCAGGTTTGAAAAAAAACAAGTACATGTACATCACGCCGCCATGCGACTTTGCCCCAAACAGCAGGATCTGAGAATCTCACCTCCATATCATTTTTCTGTGATATCTCTGCAACTAACGTGGCAAAGAACAAACAAACTGGTTTCTTCCTTGTCCGTTTCATCGGTTTTGGTCCGTCTCGTAACGTAACGCAGAGCGACGGCCTCCAACGTCATTTGCACATGAACTGAATAAAGAGAACTAGCTATAGACTGACACAACAAAAGTACAGCAACTTTCGTAAGGTCTTAAACTACATGTAGACATACAGACAAATAAATAGCGAACCGATTGACCTTTAATCCGCCCAGGGTCTATAGTTTACAGGCTGTGTGTGACGTCATAGCTACAGCTGTTACGTCACATGAGTAAAAGTGAGCTCATGGCTACAGCTGTAAAACTACAGAACGTAGGTGCTGAACGTGTAACATGATTTAACACTTATAGATGGTTCCTATTTGCGTGTATTCTGAGTTGTATATAAGAGAGACAGACAGAGAGAGTGGGGGTATAGAAGATGATTTAGAACAATGTAGGTTTACACTTGCAGTCACGAATCTTCATCCAAACTGGCCAAAAATTGCATCTAGATAAATCATCTGAAGAGCCAGGCGTTGAAGGTAGCAGAGAATGTCTTAAGACAAGGGTAACCTGTATATAAATGTTGAGCATCTGTCTTCAGACTCTTTTTAACTCGTAGTGGGTGCCTGACTCTTTAGAGAATTTATCCAGTTTCTTGATTTTAATTTTCTACTATATGTTTTACCTGGATGTCTAACCATCATCGCGTATCGACGTTACCAACCTGTGGGCTTATGTTTTCCTCTCTGATAATTAATGGTGACAACTTTTCAGGGCTACGCGTAGTTTTTGTGATGTTTCATCAACGTTTTGGCTAAAGACTGCATTCATTGAAAAGGAGGAAGACCTCCATTCCTAAACATATTAAGCACCCCAACTCTCATGCGAACGGCATGTACACCGGCGCCAGTGTTGCCCACAATAACACCAACCCTCTTCATAATATAGCCAAACTTAAAGTGGTATATGTCAAAGACATGAATGACATTCTGTGGACATGTGTCCAAGGTATCCCTATACCGAATTTCATGTCAGTAGGATTTAATACCAGGGCTTCAGATCCCCAAACCAACATTTATATGCCTGAAAAAACAAAAACAAAAAAACAATTTCAAAAGCCTGTAACCAAAAAATAGAAAATAAATGTCTGGGGGTATTTGCCCACTCTGCCTTCAATATCTAGCATATATCCCAACTCTCATGAGAAAGGTATGTACTACTACATCGGCGCCAGTGTTGCCCACAATAACCCCAGCCCCGGCATAATAAGTAACACATTATTTACCCGTAATTGCTCATATCCTCACAATATTATCAGAACAATCAATCGACTCGCCATAAATCATGCCTGAGTAAATACTTAATTAAGGCCATTCCGATCCGGACGGGTTTAGGGCGGCTGTAAAATGATCAGGAGATTTCACAAACACACACAGTATATTATAGGGTTAGGGGATGGTAGTCTCGGAATGCAGGCGATGTGGGGTGGGCACGTGTAGTCTAGAAATGCAGGCGATTTCCGAAACACAACCCAGTATATTATCGGGTAGGCACGTGTAGTCTCGGCATTCAGGCGATGTGGGGTGGCGACGCCAAACCTCGGAATACAGGCGATGTCACAAACACACACAGTATATTATCGGGTAGGGGCGCCTAGTCTCGGAATGCAGGCGATGTCAGAACACACACAGTATATTATCGGGTAGGCACGTGTAGTCTCGGAATGCAGGCGATTCCACAAACATACACAGTATATTATCGGGTAGGGGCTGGTAGTCTAGGAATACAGGCGATGTCAGAACACGTACAGTATATTATCGGGTAGGGAAGTGTAGTCTAGAAATGCAGGCGGTGTGGGGTGGGGACGAGTAGTCTCGAAATGCAGGTGATGTCAGAAACAGACACAGTATATTATCGGGTAGGCACGGGTAGTCTCGTAATGCAGGCGATGCCATAAAGACACACAGTATATTATAAGGTAGAGGCTGTTAGTCTCGGAATGAAGGCGATGTCAGAAACACACAGTATATTATCGGGTAGAGGCTGTTAGGAATGAAGGCTATGTCAAAAACACACACAGTATATTATCGAGTACGAAAGTGTAGTCTCGGAATGCAGGCGATGTTACAAACATATATCCTGGCTACTAACCCTATGAAAATAAACTTATATCGCCCAACCAAGCTGGCTTTAGGACCAAATTCAGAACGAGCGACAACCTCTTTGTAATAGACACACTTCTAAGTAAATATCTTTCGGAAAATAGACGTATTTATTCATGTTTCGTTGACTTTAAGAAAGCCTTCGACTCCGTCTGGAGAGAAGGACTCCTCTACAAATTGCTAGATTCGGGAGTAGGTGGAAATTTTTATAAGTTAATTAAATGCATGTACTCCAAACCTCAGACATGCGTCAAAACATCATCCGGGCTAACGCCGTCATTTGCAACTGTGAAAGGTGTCAGACAAGGGTGTAATCTTAGCCCGACGCTTTTTAATCTTTTCATAAATGATTTAGTACATGTACTTGATGATATTGAATGCTCACCGCCCTCTCTGCATAGTTTATTTGTATCGTGTCTGTTATACGCAGACGACGTTGTATTACTTTCCGAGTCCGATAAAGGACTGCAAAGCGCTCTAAATAGATTGAAAGACTTCTGTGCCAAGTGGAAACTTCAAGTTAATTTAAAGAAAACGAAAGTTATTATTTTTAACAAATCTGGTCGGTCTTTCCCACACCAAAGTTTTATGTTTGGACAGGACAAAGTGGACATAGTCCACTCCTACTGCTACTTGGGCCTGAATATTACCTCATCCGGTAGCTTCTCTCTTGCAAAAAAACAGCTCTCACTCAAAGCAAGGAAAGCCATGTTTAGTCTCAAATCTTTACAACGTTCTTCTGTCTCTCCTAAGTGCCTGCTCAGAATATTTGACGCTTGTATCAAACCAATACTCCTGTATGGGTGTGAAATCTGGGGAAAAGATCCTGTAAATGAGACCTCACCAATCGAAAGTTCCCATAACCGTTTCTGTAAGAATGTACTTGGGGTGCATAGAAATTGTAGTAATGTAGCTGCTAGAGCAGAACTAGGAAGACTCCCGTTAGATTTAGATATATCCCTTCGTACTGTTAAATTCTGGACACACTTGACACAACTTAATACCGATACACACCCTCTGCAAGTTGATCCACTCCTGTTACAACGTAATTCCCTGACATGTAGTCGTAGACGGACATTGTTACAGCGAGTGAAGGAGATCCTCGACCACTGTGGATATTCCTACCTACTGCATATTGATAGTACAACCTGTGATATTCAACATATGTATAAAGTATTAAGGACAAGACTTTCAGACATGTACATTCAAACTTTCTTCCATAGTTTGTCTGTTAATACCGGTAAGCTGAGATTCTATAGAAAATGTAAAACTGAATACTGTCTAGAACAATACCTAGAACACTGTGACTTCGGGCAGCGCTCCGCTATTAGTAAAATTAGAATCAGTGCCCACCCCCTGGAAATCGAAAAAGGGCGATATATGAAACTGCCTGTGTCGGAGAGAATTTGTAAATATTGCTCCTCAAATGCAGTGGAATACGAAATTCATTTCATCTCTAACTGTCCATTTTATGACGACATCAGAAAACAATTATTTACCACCGTGTCCAAAATGCTCCCTTACTTCCCCACCGTTCCCTACCACAAAAAAACATGTTTACTACTAAAATCAAAGAACCCACATATTATAGAAGAAGTGGGTAAATTCGTCTTCCACTGCCTGAAAAGAAGAAGTCAAACCCAGTAAATATAGTACCATGCATGTTGTAGAATATAGTATAATGCTAGACGTAGATATAGTCTCACATATTACTGTATTTCCTTTCTTATGTTATTTGTAACTGCAATTAGCCCTCGGGCATGTATTTGCAATAAACTTTCTTAATTATCAGATGAGGGAAGTGTAGCATCGAATTGAAGGCGATGTCAGAAACACACAGCATATCATCGATTTTATTTCACTTGTACATCTTTTATTCCTATAATCTGAAGATACATTTTCTGTCAAAAATCACTTTCCTCAAATACTCATGCTAAACAGTTCTCGAAAATTACATTTTAGACAGAAAATACCTTTTTACATTATCTATATTGCATGTACTTGTATTTTGTATAAGTATTAGCTCCGTTTTGAGGTTATATGGTTTTTGTACAACTTTCTTGATTTGTATCATATGCCTTACTCTCTTCATACGATGTTTCGATTCAGTACTAGTATTCCTTGCCATAGTTGAGAGTTACATATTTTTGTATATCAATGTTTATCCATGTATTTCCATGTTTCAGTGCGTTTCTCACAGATTCCACAGTATAAATAATGACGTGCAGTTGCTTGTGGCACGCGGTGGCAACATTTCAAAGTGCAAAATTGTTACAAAATCTGTGACAATTTAACTATGCTGAACTGAAAATCTTCAGTTTGTATGATATTTAAAGTGCTGATAATAATATGGATGATATGCATATATGGATGAAAGAAGATTTGGCACATTTTTTTCTGACAAAGCCAATAATAACTTTGACGCATTCTGACTTCTTGGTGACATTTTATGCTATAGAGCCTTTCTACTTTAATTTTCATAGGGACAATAGTGAATGCTAGCTCAAGCGTTTTTGGACATTGGGTGATGTTTTGACCCCTTCAAAGAGGTTGTATTCGTTGTATACAGGTTACATAATTCGAAGAATAAAGCGCACAAGGAGGGCATAAAATAGTGAGCACTTTAAAGTGGTCTTGACCTTCTGGCCTTCGAAAAATCAAGGACAACAAGATGGCGGTCAGCACCTGTTCGATTCATTGACACGGACAGTGAAAGAAAATGTATTATCTATATCACCGTTTCTTTTCTCACGATCATTGTTTGTTGTACATGAACTGCATCCCCAGAGCCGCTTCGTACTCCTTCGCCTTCATTCGGAGCGCGGCGATGGACGAACATCTCCGAGTCTCGGAGTCGGGCGTGTTCGGAGGAGGAAAGCCGAGCGGCACGATGGTGCATGACGGGATCGGTGACGTGTACAGCGTGGTGGGCACCGTGACGCTGTGGATTGTGGGTAGGACGGGGCTGATGGCGGGGCTTCCCGGCTGGAGCGCACGCGTCCGCTCTTTGGTCTTGTCCTGGAATAATTTAAAAATTCAATTTTCAGTTTTCATAGCGGGAGTACAAAGTACTCACGAATTGCGTCGACTTTACATGTTGGATACAAGAAGAAACACAGGGCAATTACACTCATACGGATGCACTAGCTCGTATATATTAGTAGAATTTAAAGCAAACATTCGTCTTAAGGATCTAAATACTACTACCGAAAGATTAGAGAACAAACGAAGGATCACCACACTCATAGCAAAGAGTAGGGGACCTTCCTGGTGTGAGTGGTTCAAACCTTACAGTCTGGTATCAGGTTTGACATCTTTGAAGAGGTGATAGTCACCTTTTAGTGTTACGTCAATCCTTCTACAAATGTGGCAAATCTCAATGAAATACGTAAAGTATGCACGAAAGACACACAGGCAGACGGTAGGAGAGCAAAAGAGAATGAAAGAGGGTGTTTTAGAGAGAAAAGTTGAAATGAAACAGACAAGGGACGGAGTGTGTATCCGTACCTTAGGATCCACCCGTGTGATAGCCGCAGTATGAGGCGCAGGCACCATGGCCATGTCGGTGTTCTGGAGAAACCCCAGCCCGCCGAAGTTCGTCAGTTTCTCGTACTTCCGCCACTTCGCTCGTCTGTTCTGGAACCAGATCTGGATAGGGGCAAGAAGGAAGAGGTTGAAAAGTCCATTCTGTTAAACTTTGTTTCTCTCTTAACCATTGATGCATCTACAAGTGGGATCGTGTGGCGCCGTACAGCAGAGTGCTCGACTCGGAACCAAGAGGTCCCGGGTTTAAGTCCTGACATGCCACTGATCTTGTGCCATTGTGTAAGGCACTATACACGACTCACTTAAGTCAAGTGAACATGAGTATGTCCTATCCTGTATTTTGACCTCTGCGTTTGTGGCGTTCACCATGTCTAGTCATGAAATGTTGGAAAATAAAATAAAATAATCTACCAGTTTTTTTCCATTTTGTCCCTTCATATCTGCAACTCTTTCGTTCGTCTATTCTTTTTTTTTTTTGCTTTCTTGCTTAGTCGTGTGCAACAAACGTTCGGTCATTTATTTTCAATAAAGTTTAATTTCAAAACGTTATTTCCAATTCTCCTGACCTGAACTCTGGCCTCCGGCAGCTTGGTTTTCCTGGCCAGCTGTTCCCGTGTGTGTACATCCGGGTAATGCGTGACCTTGAACACGTCCTCTAGCGCCTTCAGCTGTTCCGCAGAGAAGGTCGTCCTCACCCTGCGCATGCGCTTCACCCTCCTCTCGGGACCCTCTTCTGAAACCGAGGCATCCGTCCCGCCTCAAGATACAAGATAAAAGATTTTGGACACTGAACAAGACTATTTCTTGAGAGGGGAGATGGAAGCCATGGGCCCATCACCCTTCATTGAACCGCGACGGGGGCCGACATCGTCTACAAGATACCTTTGACCCAGTGTTGACGTCACACTTCAAAGGAGCCACGTGACAAGCCTCACTGGGTCAGTCTACTGAGGAAGACCAGAGTGACTGGTCGAAAGCTCTAGGTGAGAGAAGTTTTTTTTTTGTGTTGGACCAAAAGTTTTAACTTTAAACATGTAACTACCAACACAGATGAACTTTCATGATAAGATACAAGATGGCTTTATTGGTATTCGCAGTGTGTAATACTTAAAGCCGAATTTATACTAATCACACTTTGATAAAAACAGTTACAAAAGTATTGTTATCTTTGACAGTAGGCGTAGTTACGTAGTATAGGTGAATATTATATTATATTTTATCATATCATATCATATTTCATATATCATATCATATCATATTATACTAGTAAGATACTATGGTAAAATAGAACCAGTTAAAATTACATGTGAAACAGTTACCAACCTCCGCTGCACACCGACTCCCGTCCGGTCTCCGACGCGCTGTCGCCGCCTACGTCATACACGTCAGCGTCCGTGACGTCACCGTCGGGAACCTCGATGTCATCGCCGCCGGGAGACCTGACGTCATCACTGGCGAAGAACTGCCCTTTTGTATCTGTAAATGATATATCATTAGGTTAAAATTTTGGTAAACTTTCTCTGACTTTTAACAGAAAAAAATACTAATAGAGACTTTTCCATGAATAATTTTGCAGATGATGTTTCTTATCTCAGTGTTGGGAGTCTGTTAAAGTAGGCAGAATTAGGCAGTAATAACATGAATAATTTGCCATGAAAGTGAGCCCACGGTAAAGGTACTTTAAATGTCCTTTTTAGTGCATATAGTGGCAATTTAAGTTTTTCAACCAACGCCGTTAGTTAAAGACTATACGTTTCAGTTGGCATCACTAGAGTTACCTCTTCGCATGCGCACCAAAGAAACTGGTTAAGAAATGAGGTCTTGTCTGGTCGGAAGACTGGATCCATCCAGTAACCTGCTACTGAGACTTTTAAACCTGACGCTCTAGATTTAACATAATTACGTTCCTTAATTTGTATATAAAACATTTAAAAGCTGGCGATTTGTAAGAAGGGTCCGCAATTCAACCCTGGGCTGCCATGACCTCCACACGTGTACCATATGATTGTATGTATGAACTTTTCACTCCATGGTATGAATGAATAAATAAACCAGTCATCAAAAGTCGGCACCCTTCAGATCACATCTCTTTATCTCACAGAAAGTCGTAATTCATTACGCAAAGTTTAGCCCCCCGCCATTCTGCATTGTGAAGTGTGTTGACTCCCCACACTGTGTAATAGGCTTACACGGCCAGTCAACACGGCGGCAGCATTGTACTCTAAAATCAGAGGTTTGGGTTTGGGCTTATTTTTGGCTTAATTAGGCTTTTTATCGGGGTTTCTTTTTTCCACTGAATTTTTTTACGCCATCCCAACACATGAAAAAATTCCAGTGCAAAAAAAGATTAAAACCGATTTTAAAAAAAGCATGAAACACGCCAAAAATACGCCAAAACCCAAACCTCTGATTGTAGAGTAGCGGCATTGCGTCATAGGGATTAGCCTAATGCAAGTCCAACACGCCGGCTTTGCCTCGCCGCTGTAATCCGGGGCTAATCTCTGGGCAAAGTTTGCGTCTCAATGACCTATTGTTTGTGTCTGTAACCGATACCCATTGTTAGTAATGGTCTTAGAATCTGTACCAGACTATAGCTGGAAGCAAAAATGGCAATACTTAGAAGTATTGAAGTATTAGAAGACGTAGATCTGTTTCTAGTGCTCAAAAAAGCTTAACATACCTGTCCCTAATCCAAAGTTAAGAAAACGATTTTTAAGCTTCGTAAGTTCTTACTTGCTTGTGAACTTGAAAACTTTCGTTATGTAAAAAAAAAAACAAGGAGCTGTAAATTCGATTTTTTAACCTCCTTGGTAATAAAAGTTTTTGTTGCTGTTGTTGTTGGACGAATACAGTCGAGTATGATTAAAAATGAATGACGTCAAATATAGAGATTATTTCATATAGGAGGAAAGTTGACTATCCCAAAAGATGAAAAATTGCATTGGTTTATTTTCCATACAAACTCCCCCTCCTCCCCCAAAAACCTTTAACTCCCTGTCCCGCCCCTTTGTCAAATTCTCTAAGCTTCTCTAGAGGCATAGCCTATATCTGTACAGTTGCATTGGTATAACCATAATTCGACGTGACACACCAGTTTCGCAGGCACGCGGCGCGGCGGCAGCTGGCTGTATCTGTATATTTAAGCCTGTATAACCACCCTTCGGCGCAACACACCAGCTTACACACCAGCTTACACTTGTATTCAACCTTCTTGCACTGAACGACCAGTTACGCCTAAACCTTTGCACACTTGTCAAACTGTAAGTGTTGTAAAAAAGCTATCTATTGAATTTTCTGCCAAAAACGCTCCCTAGCCTGCTCCGACATTGTTCACAGTCCCGCCCCTTTGTGACATTTTCTAACCTTTGTGTTCCTCTCTGTCTATCGTTAAAGTCATAAACAACCTGCTTTATCAGATCCCGTGTAGCTCCGGTCCCCCGTTCCCGGCCGTACCGCCTCCTCCCCTCGCCCACTACCCGGTAACCGGCGGCCGAGGGAACTAATAAACTCGGCCCCGCGAATTTATGGTCCATTGTACCTTAATTATGCCGCCACTTAATCTAATTGAACTCCGGCACCGAATGGTACCTCCAACAATTACCCGCTCTATTGTATAAACAAGCGGCCGACACGCCGGTTATTCTTACAATTCCTGGTGTACATGGAGCGAACAATACACGGTCAGATATACAAGTCATGGGCATAGGGCGTACGCTGGAGCTTGACCTATGTCATCTTTCAAAGTGTATCGAGGAGGTTGTGGGGGGATATGTAGCCTCCTTGGTTGTAGAAACAAGTCAGATTTGCTCAGGGTATTCTTACAATTCATGGCCTACATGGAGCGAATTTCTAGTAAAGTAAGATACATGTACAAGTCATGGCCGATACAAGGCGTGACTGAACGCCAAACAATTCTACATAGAGCTTGACCAACAGCCATCTTTCAAAGTTGCAGCAATGAGATTTAAGATTATACTAGGAAATACATTGGTTGTAGAAACAAGTCTCGATAACTCAGATTGTTTTTACAATTCCTGGCCTACATGGAGCGAACAATACACGGTCAGATATACAGACTCATGGGTACAGGGCACGGCCAAAGGCTGGAACCATTCGACTTAGAACTTGTAGCAAGGAGGTAGTTGTAGCAGAATTGTAGCAAGGAGATTGTACTGAGATATGTAGCCTCCTTGGTTGTAGAAACAAGTCACAATCACTCAGATTGTTCTTACAATTCCTGGCTTAAATGGAGCGAACAATACAGTCAAGTATACAAGTCATGGCACAAGGCGCGGCCAAAGACTGGTACGACTAAAGTAAGAGCTAGAGTCTCGGTCATCTTGCAAAGTTGTATAGACAAACCCCTTCGTCCACAGCGCCGGTTATTCTTACAATTCCTAGCTTACATGAAGCGAACAATGCACGCTTAGATATACAAGTCATCGGCATAGGGCACGGCCAAAGCCTAGTGCGATTTAAGTAAGAGTAAGGTAGAGTTTCTACCTCTATGATTAAAGTAAGAACTAGAGTCTTGGCCATCTTGCAAAGTTGTATGAACAAAAACCCAGTGTCCAAGGTTGTTCTTACAATTCATATCTTACATGGAGCGAACAATACGGTCAGATATACAAGTCATATATGGCTGGAGTATAAACGATTCGACCTAGAGCTTGACCCATGTCATCTTTGAAAGTTGTATCGAGAGGGAGGTTGTATGGAAATATTTAGCCTCCTTGGTTGTGGAAACATATCAGACCACTCAGATTGTTCTAGCAAGTGACCAATACAGTGAGAGATACAACTCATGGTGCAAGGCAAGGCTATACAGTGTAGGCTGAAACATTCAAAGATTAACTTAAAAGTTGAGTTTTTAGGGCTATCTCAAAACAACTGTACCAACATTCAACAAGCAACCCCCGCTGAGGTTATGAAATTCTTTTTGTATGTTTCGCCTAACTGGTAAACTGCCGGCATTATAGTTACAAGTACATGGACTGTAAGGTTTGAACCACTCATGTCACGATGGACCCTTTTCGATATTAAAGTGTGGTGGGATCTTTAACATGCTCAAGGTGTGGCTAGCTCTCCTTCAACACAGTCGTCGGAAATTCCTGAACGTTAACCTCTACCAGGCTTCTGGAAGCGGCTGAAAAGAGTGGAATTTGGTCAAATAGACAACATGCCAGGGGAGATGGTTAGGAGAACCACTTCTCTGGCCAATTTCTACTCTTTTCAGCCGCATCCCGAAGTCTGTTAGAGGTTGCCTGAACATATGACAACTTAGGCTTAAACGTACTATGTACTAATCTATTCCCAAGACCCCGATTCCCATATATCCCGTACCTGTCCGCTCCCATCTTGAGGACCGGTTTGTGTATTTTCGTCTCCAGCCATAAAAACTGCCATAACCCAGATTATTATCGTAACTCGGCTCTTTTCATGTCGGCGCTGTTTGCCGGTAAATATGGGCCGAGCGGGCTGTAAAGTTAGTGTAAAGTTCTGTGGCGTCAGGGTCTTCAACTAAATCAACACAAAAACACATGTTTACAAGACTTAGCATAGACTGTAGGCGTCTTGTTATCATCCTATATTTGTCCTATATCCTATATTCGTCTCCCACTGCCTCAAAAGAAGAAGTCAAACCCAACAAAACTAGTACCACGTATGTTGTAGAATGTCACAAAGTCTCTCATATCATTGTACATGTATCTTGTTTTTCGCACTTGTTGTTTGTATCTGCAATTAGCATTTGGGCATGTATTTTCAATAAAATTTCCTGTGACAAACTTTCCTGTATCAAAGCACTGTGAGTTTTGTGTCCTATAGGTATACTGTTTACCTGGAACGTAACATGCGTATATGTATAGCAGCACTTTGGATTTGTGCGACCAATGGTTTCATAATATGGAATATGATGCGCGATGTAAAAGCGCGATTTTAATGGCAACAGAAAAATGTAAAACGTGACAAAATTCGTCCCTTTTCCATGAAATTCGTTGAGGGATTTGTCAAATGTTTGGTCGTTTAGCGGTAGCAGACTCCAGTGAAAAGCATGTGAGCTGAAATATCTTTGCCTGATCTAACATTGTGAAGGCTAACATGATATTGTATGTGTTATGTAGAGAGTGTTACTGAGGAAATGGGTTCATGTACCCACTTTAAAAGTGATTTCTGGATAAGAAGCAAATATGCGTGAGACGTATAAATCATATCGTACACATAATAACATTATCGTTATCATGTAACAACAGAAAAGAAAATGCTTTATGTATATGTTTTGCCTTGTGTGTCGGTGGCGGCATGAATATAACTTGAGTGTTCCGTCATCATGTTCTGTCAATAAATGTTGCAATGAAAAGAAACAGAAAAACCACTCTGAGTACTTTTCTGTATTGTTTTTATAGCTTTGGCCTAAACTTCAACCGCAACAATGTGATACCCGTTAAGGTTTTGATACACACATAATCCTTAAGTTTGTCGCTTATATACATTGGTATGTACCTATCTTAACGATCTTGCCGCTAAAGTGTCGAATCGAGGTAAAGCAGAAATATGTAACTGTTACTACTTCTTGTTTTCAAACTACTTACTAAAACTTAAAGAACTAATTTTTTATGCAAGAAAATATGTCCCTGTAGCAAATCTAGCCCATATTTAAAAGAGGGAAGGTCTGTCGTTGAAAGAACGTATTTTATTTCACACGTTCGACTAATAGAGATTGAATTCCAGTGTTTTCATAAAACTAGCAAGGAGGCACGATTTGGCATGTCAACTTTGTTTGGTGCACCCTCCTTTATTTATAACTTAGTGATTTGGAACATGTGCCAGTGATTTGCGGTTCATTCTCTCTTTTATAAGACGATAAACGGTATTAAAACTAGTCTCTACCAGGCTCCTAGAAGAGTAGAAATTGGCCAAATAGACAAATAACATGCCAGGGGATTTGGTCTGCTAAAAACCACTAAGTTTCCAACTCCCCTGGCATGTTCGGCCAATTTTTACTATTTCCAGTCGCTTCTGAAAGCCTGGTAGCTAAACCACGACAGCTAAACCACGACATACCTGAGAAATAAACCACTTCGCACTCAAAAACTAGAAAGAAGGCACTAGGTGTACATTGACTTACGTTCACTCTCTGTTCTATAATACTATAAACAGTAAATTGCACGGAAAGTTAATTCTACCACACGCTTCGACACGCTACAAGCGACTGGAAATAGTAGAAATTGACCAAATAGACAGATAACATGCCAGGGGAGTTGGTCTCACTGACTGATAAAAACCACTAAGTTACCACTCCAAATTGTACTCTTTGGCGGACTAACTCCCCTTTTTATTACTCTTTCAAGTCGCTCCGAAAGCCAGGTAGAGGCCAGTTGAAAAGCACCACGTACCTGAGAAATCTACCGAGTCCTGCTCCTTATGACCACTACTGTGGTCTTGCGAGGTGAGAGCGTGCAGGCTGTAGTCGATGGGCCCTACCGGGGAGCAGGAGTCCCGGCCCTCGGCGTGAGGGCGCTCCTGCCACCGAGGAACCGCCGGCGGCCGCCCGAGGATGTTCTCGATGGAATGTCTCAGCGTCGGGATTGTTGACAGGTCCATTGTTCACCGCGACAGTGTTCCCCAGACAGAGACCGAGTTGAAAAAGTACTATAAAAATCCTAACTATTCCAGTTTTTTAAAGTTTTCTCAGTAAGGGTACAGTCACTGTACTAGTCTATGCTTGGAACCCTTACCAGAGATAGGCGTAGTGCATACTTGTAGTAAGCAGTCGGGTAAGGGTGTACACTGTACAACAACTTGGACGAAAAAGTCTGTCAGTTCTCAAATGTTCTTCCCGTCGGCGACGACAATGAGGTGTTTACAAGTCGGTGGACGCCATGATTTTTCTTGCTGCTGAAGGACGAGTTGACCTTGACAACAAAGGTTCGATCCTGGGTCTCCAAACGTCGTCTGCGAAGTCGTTCGATCGAACCACCTGCACACCTGGCTTGAGAGGTCGGCAGGTGAGTTGTTCTTTTTCGTGTCCGGACCTGCCGTCTAGAGGCAAACCCTTTCCTCGGGACGTCTGTCTGTGTTTCCTACCGTGCGGAACAACAATGTGCTTGAGGCCGTCCTGATAAGGTTTTTGTTTTACGGCGTTTGGAGAGCCGTGTTTGATAAAGGGGAGAGATTGGAGAGTCGTGTTTGATAAAGGGGAGAGATTACACCGGCTAATTAACTATAGGAACCCCACCGTGGGTCAACATGGCGGCAATGGGGCATGTCGGGAACGGCCATAGAACTCTTTATATACAGTATGTTTAGAAACGTACAGAGATAGAAAGATAAGTGCCTTGAACTCATAGTTTGTGATGTTTTTATAGCTTGCGTTTTATCCTATTTGATACCGTAATTCTGTAGATATGAAACGAATGTTTTTAGCTTTAATTATCTGTAATATGTAACCTTACAAAATTAAGTATTTGTTATCGCTATCATGATCGGGTTTTTATTGGTGTCCTGCATGTTTCTAAGTAGTGGATGAACTGGAGACAAAAGCATTAATTTGTTTGAGAACACTGATGATGTGCTGATGAAGACAAGAAAGAAAAAGAAATAAGCATGAGTTCTTCATGATCACACAGAGAAAGACCTGGCAGTGCACACTCTCTGAGAATGCAGTAGACAATTCATTCGTGTATTTGTATAATTCTAGTAATTTGCCCCTAAAATAAAATAAGCTGTTTACAAGTTACCTTCTTACAGAACCACAGATCTTCCCTGAAGGCTTCCTTTTTTTTCTAGAATGTTGACACAGAGCTTGATACCTATACTCAGATTTTCTTCCTAGTATTATTTTTGCCCAACTTATTCAAAATTGCTGCAGGTTTGTACAAAGATGAAGCCTACACTTAAACCCAGAGGACAAGAAACACTGCCCGTCTTTTCGTCTGGTGATTGCTTTCTAATCAAGACAATGACTCTCTCAATTAAAGACGAACATTACAAACTGAAGGTATCACTTATGCAAACATAAATCCTGTATCTTAGAGCATAATCTATGGAATGACACATAACTTTGTCGTGAATCAGAGAATACAAAAGAAGATATCGACGTGCCCCGGAAGGTTATACAAACAGGTCGTCATGGACGGACGGTGATTCACGGGATTCCTATGCAGTTTACTTTTACATTGTCCTTAGTCAACAGGAGTTGGATATCTTAAAAATGTGGCGGAAGGATTCCTAAGAAGTTATCTTCATATTGTCTTCAGTAAACAAGAAGGTTGGTAGAGTAAGAATCTGATGTTGACAGAAATTTAGAGTAATGATATCCTAGGAATTTACGTGTACATTTTTGGTGTGTTGTCTTTAGTCCATAGCGCAAGGAAGAACTGATAAATGATAAGATTTGGCAGAAGGAAGTTTCTCAAAATTTTCTTTTTCAAGACGAATATGGCAGGAACAAAGTCTTAGCAACATTCCTTTGGTAAAAACCTTCCAGTAAAGATATTGAATACTATACTGTGTACAAATAGGTAAATGTATCAAGTGATGTTTAGACCTTAGAACAAATAGTATAAATTGATTCATCTATTGCTTTTGCACGTAGGTAAATTTTTTTGTACCAACGTATCTGTCTGTTACTGTATGTCTACACGGTAGTTTAAGACCTTACGAAAGTCGCTGTACTTTTGTTGTGTCAATTAAGTTCACATAATACTTGCAAAATGAAATATGCATAAAATACAACCTATGTTGGAATTTCAGTTACAACTATTTTTGCTGCATGCCACAACATACCACAGGGAGTAACAGCCACTCAAGGCTTGACAAGGTGAAGGCCTGAAATAGGTTAAAAGCTCTAATATTAGTACAGCGTATTTGTCCCCAATCAATGGCTCACGGCTGCCAAGAGTTCTTGCAACTAAGTTACGGAGTGAGAGGCCCGTAGCGATGGACTAGGTTCCACTAGGCCTTACTAGGGGGTACGGAGGGTAGAATTTGGCAAAATGGGGAATATCTTGAAAGTTTATCTGTGTTGGTAGAAGTCATTTTGAAACAGTTTAAAGTGTAATATCCAACACAAAAAATTGGACTCACCCAAATTTTCGACCGTACAACTCCAGTCTTTGTCAAGGAATGGACAAAGACTTGACAAAGACTGGAGTTGTACAGTCGAAAATTTGGGTGAGTCCAATTTTTTGTGTTGGAAATTACACTTTAAACTTGTTTCATAATGGGAAATAGTTGACCAGGAGAGTCAGTCCACGGGAAGGTAAGAGAACTGTACTGTGACTAAACTCCCCTGGTTGAATTAGTCTTTCTATTTGGCTAAAATTTACTATTTTTGAACCCGCATTGTTAGTCTGGTGAGGACTATTCGTGGATAACGCAGCCTGTTGTGACTTATATCTTTAATCTTTATTTTTTATTTCAGGCATAACTCGTCCATATAAAACATACAGATAAAAATACAATGTACACACAATGACAGCAGTAAAAAAACATGTCTATACGTACAGACGGGCCCAGATATTGCGGAAGAATCTGTTGCGGGATATTACATCAGATTTGATCAGAACAGATTGGATAATGTTGTTTGAGGAGTTGTACAGACAGGATATGAAAGAATAGCATTGTTTGCGCCATGTAGCGTCAAATGTGTCAGTCCTATTGTAAACAAACATTTCACTGGCAAAATCTGGGTAATGACATTATGATGCGAAAACAGTTGTTGTAAGCAACTCGACACTCTGAGACAACTCTATCTCTAACATCTAGAAAGTAAAAGAGCATTTGTGCTTATCTAAGAGTAGATAGAAGTAAATTACCGGGCTAGAAAATTTTTCTTCGCTAATATACATCTGTGCTACTGCAGAATTTTCTGTGCGGGCGTACAAAGATAAATTCGTTTGAGAAAGAATCAGAGCCCGGGATCTGTGAGATTATGATAACCTCTGCAGTATTTCGGTTAAAGACCTCACTTTTAAACCATTAGTTTTAAGTAGAACTTAAGAACGGAAGATAAAGTGGAAAACAGTTGCATTGTTTAAGCCATTTAATTATTAGAATCCAATAATGGCCCATATTAATCTATCTACCGTCAAATGGAATACTACCAAATACGGCAACCAAACTATTGACAGAAGACCACTTTCTATAAAACACGTCTCTTTTAAATCATAAAACAACCCACCTAACACTAAGGTGTTTTAGAAGGTATGTACCAAAAATGTCCCACAAACCGGTAACATTTACACACAGGATACGTGATGAATTCCGATCTTCTCCTAACCGCCCTCATTGGTTGCCTGGCAACGTGATCGGCCCGGATCATCCCCTGATTGGCCGGCTCCCCGGCATAGCTGTGGGTCGGAGATATGAAAGTATGGCCGCCCCCCGCCATAATCAGAAGTGTACATACACACACACAATTACCGCGCCGCCGATACAGGCATCGACACTCCTATAAATATGACTTTTGAACTATAATAATTAGGCCACATTGACTTAATTTTGTGGATAATGTACCCCTTTGAAGACCCCAAAACTACATGCGAGCGGGCGAATAAAAAAGTTACATACACACACGAAATTACCGAAAATACATACATCACCACTCCTATAATTTAGTATAAATATGACTTTTGAACTATAATAATTAGGCCACACCGACTTGATTTTATGGGTGACATCCTCAATGCGAGCGGGCAAATAAAAAAGAGTCCTGTCCAGAGAATGCAAAGCTGGTATTGCGCATTTGTACATGACATACACAATTACAAGCCTATTATATATGCTGGAGTTTTGCAGCATTTATGAGTTTGCACTATACATCGCCACTCCTATAAATATGACTTTTGAACTATAATAATGAGGCCACACTGACTTAGTTTAATCGATGACATCCTCTGAAGACCCCAAAGCTAATACGAGCGGGTGTATAAAAAGTCCAACCCCAAAAAAATGCTGATAAACCACAATTATGCAAAACTGGTATTCTGGTATTTTGAATTTGCGGTTGTACATAAATACTTTTACAACATACACAGGCCGGCACATGCTGGCCTTTTAAATTTGCAGCATTTATAAGTCGTCACTATACTGAGTTATAGAGTTCCATGGAGCGTCGACAGCCTGGGTGACGTCCTCCGTAGTTACCGCCGGCTCCCTACTCTCGGTAGCCACAATGAATGACTGAAGATGGCATCCAGGCTTCAACCTCCTCGGAATTTTTTTTAGAACAGACGAATATCAATGAGCACGCAGATGTCATCCATAAAATTAAATCAGTGTGGCCTTTGTGTACCATACATAGCATGTCATTGCTGTGTGTCATACCAGCGTAGCGCCGGCGCTGATGCGGTTCGGGGGAAGAGAGACATTTTAATCGAACTGTTTGCAAAACTGTTTGCGGCCAACAGATGAAAGTATGCCGTTGTTTTCGACCTAACAACGTTTTTGTTACCGCCGAGGCCCCACAACTCATAACAAATATACACCTCGGGCGGGTAAATTCACGACTGTACAAAATACATTACATGTGCGTTATTTTTCAATTTGCTGTTTATCGATTAATCTCGTCCAGCAAACGTGGAACTTGTTTTCGAATGACGTCTTGTGAATTTTTGCTGGGTTTCAAGTCTCCAGGCTACAGAGTTATAAGTCGGCCTGACTCCGGCGAAAGTCGCCCGGTTACAGACCTACAAGTGGAAGTGGAGACCTCAAGTGGGCTTCTCTTTTTAACGATATCTGATGGAGGCATTCCGGGAGGCCCCAATCTCCAGGCAAACTTAGAAAGGGCTGACCATGTGAAATGTTGATGCTATACGCAAAAAAAAAAATTGTTACTCATGACAGCAAGCAACTGGATATGATTTTGGAAACGGTCAGACGTTTCAGGTAGCGTCCACTACCTTTCGTCAGTGACACGGGAGAGTTGTCAGAAAAGCAGGTTTATAAGTACGAACTATTGATTGATAAGGAAATAAGTAAATACAATTTTTTGAAAGTCCAAAAGGAAACAAAGTTAGACAAGTCTAGACAAGGATGATGCAAATTAGTCAAGTAGTTCCTGTTGTAGAGTAGCGACGTAGCGATGCTGTAACCCCTGTCACACACTCATGACCTCATCACGACTTTACTCCTGACAACTCCCCAACTGAGGCCGGCGCTGGGTCCGAAGTAGCCTAGAATTCATTCTATTCATGCTTCAGTTTGCTCCTCTGGTCGCATCTATGAAGAATAGGTCTTTATCGAGTTTGATTGTCAAAATTTGTAGCCTACACCGACAAGTTTTGAAGATCGGTAGACAACCTAGCTGACGTAATCCCACAGATGACCTTTCTCACCACTACCTCCCAACCATGGTCTGAAGAAAGTTGGGACGCTGGTTATGTGTGAGAAGGACTTTAGGCAAATGAGATGGCGAACAGTCAGTTGTTTGATTAGTTAGTACAGGAAATTCTCTATAGCTAGTTTGGAAGCTCGTATGTGCTGATAGCCCCCTGTACACACATTCCAAGAACGATAGATAGGTTCGCAATAGATCGACGGCAAAAAAAGTCGTGGATGTTTCGTTCAAAATCCAGCTGTGTAAGACGAGAGGATGCTCGGTTCACTGTTTTGCTCACACTCCTACGACTAATAAATTGTAATGACGAACTTGATCGGGGATCCTTAAAGTGTGCTGACATTTGCATGATGATGGGAAAGTCTAGTCTCTACCAAACTAAAACAATGGGTTGCTGAAAACGTTTCATTTGAAATTGGCAAAAAAGATATTGATATACCAGGGGAGTTAGCCGTTGGTTCTTGAGTGTGCTCCTATGGCCGGCTAACTCTTTGTGTATGTCATGCAGTCTATCTAGCCAATTATAAATTTTTAGCAACCAATTGGAGTCTTATAGAGACTAGACTTTCCCATCATTATAGAGTAGTATATAGTATTGTTGTGATAGTTAGATTTTTAGCACTTAGCATTAGAATGTAGCGTTTCTGTCTTCAATACTCAATGTTTCATAGACCACATTTGGTCGCATGTTCATTTAGCCCATTTAGGCAGAGTATGCAATAAAATTCATTCATTATGCAAGTGTGCACTTTAAGAAGAAATCCGGCAGGAAATGTCAAACTAACGCCCCGTCTCCCACTGACCAACCTCCCGCCCGCGAATGCTTGATGTGCAATTTATCAACCTGAATTCGCGCTATTTGTTTGCTCCCGTATTAATGTTCATTAAAAAGTCACACAGAGCGGGCGGAATAAATCGGGGAAAGATTGAGATCAGTTATAAAGTGCTTAACTGTGTCAACCCGACGTAAGCCGGAGGAAACCAAGGATACCGGGGACTGAAACTCTAATGCAGTTGAAAGTTCAGCAGATTCTTCGCAAAGGGAAAGTAGTCAGGATACATGTAAGGTTACAGGATGGTGAAGAGGTGTAGTCTAGACGTGGTTTGTGAATTTGGAGTGTTAAAGTCGCCGTGAAGTGTTGTCGGCGTTACGGTGCCGTGTTTGCGTCGGACGCGTTGCATATCTGTTCTTCCTGGCGTCGCAAGTATGGCTAGTCTAAGCGCGGAATACATGAGGTCATCTCGAAGCAAATTCTTTTCAGCGCGAGTCGTTAATGCACATATCATGAACTCTGCACCCCAATCCGGACTCCATACCAGTCTTCCTCGGCGACGCAAGAGGCAACTTTTTCCTACCGTATGGCAAATTGCGCTCTATCCTTCAACATTCAACCTTTAACACTACAGTAGGGCAAACTATTACTATTGCTCTACAGAGGCTGTTTTGTCCGTTTGAAGGTAGAAAAAAAGAAATACAACCGAGCCTAGATTTAACCACAAACGCACCACTCGGGACAACAATGGCCGGGTGACTTCAAAGCGAACCCGCGCGCCGTAAAAGTCGCGGCCGCTCCAATGCCCGTGTGTACCTTACCCAGCCATAAACCGGCAGGACCGTAATTGGCCCCACGATAAGATTTGCCGAGTCGTTCGACTCCCGACCGACGCCGGAATTTTTACGACTTCTGCCCGTCACTGCATCGCGCGACGCCCGCAAGGTGTTTGCGAACGGGGTAGGCTCTACCAGGCTTCGGGAGGCGGATGGAGCGAGTAGACATCGGCCAAATAGAGAGATAACATGCCAGGGGAGTTTGTCTGCGGGGAGAAAACATTGTGCGGCAAAATGTTCTCTCCAGCAGACCAACTCCCCTGGCATGCTATCTCTCTATTTGGCCGATTTCTACTCTTTCCAGCCGCCTCCCTAGTCTCTACCAGACTAACTACGCTGGCTATATATTGGAGAATATTTGCCAGGGGAGTTTGGCCGCCTTGTAGGTTTGACTGGCCGCGGAGGGAAAGAAACTTCTAGTACCTCCCCGTGGCCGGACTCCCTTGGCCAATTTTACTCTCTTTTTTGCCGAATTCTACAACCCGTAGTTCCGTAGATGGGCCTGGTGGAGGCTACGGTGTTTGCGGAACCTATCAGAGAGTGTGGGGCGAACGTAGCCTCCGCCAGGCTTCGGGAGGCGGCTGCAAAGAGTAGAAATTATAACATATATGCTGGTCCGTGATGAGAGAGTACTGTTTGCTGTGCTGTACGCAAGGGGGTGATTGTAGCAGGGTGGCTGACACGTCAAGTAGCAAGTATAAATTGCCTCTGCCAGCCTTCGGAGGCGACTGCAAAGTAGATATAGATATAGAAATTGGCCAAATAAAGAAATAACATGTGCCAGGGGTTACTCGGCCGCTAGAGAGTATACTTTCATATGCGGTAGACTGTTTATGTAATGTAAATCATACATCATTTCAGCTGATAATGGCTGCTACTGTATGTTTTGTACGATGTGTAGTTTGTATCGAAATAAACCATTCATTCATTCACGTACTCTCTAGGCCAACTCCCCTGGCATATGTTACCTCTCTAATTGACAAATTTCTACTATTTCTAGCCGCCTCCCGGAGCCTGGTACCGGCTAGAACGAGCAGGGGTGAGTGTAGCAGGGTGACTGACACGTCAAGTAGAAGTAGCCTCTAGCAGGCTTTGGAAGTGGCTGGAATTCGTGTCGAAAATTGGCCAAATAGACAGATAACACGCTAACGGTGTGGCAAATGTACTCCCAACTCTCCTGGCATGTTGGTATCTGGCTATCTGACCGATTTCTAGTCTTTCCAGCTAATTCCAAAGCCGGGTAGAGGCTAAAGCAAAGGATACTGTATAGGAGACAGGGCGACTGACACGTCAAGTACATCAACCAGCGATAGTTTTATTAGGTAGTCTGGCCACAGGCCAGTTAGGATACTGTATTGGGGCAAAAGGACTCACATATCAAGAACTGGGTTAGCTACAAGATGTACATATATATGCATCGATTAGTCAAGCATAACCAATCAAAAGAATAATCAAACTTTATTGTAACAATAGTAACATGTACATGGGATGTTACTAAATTACAAAGAACAAATCTGATAAGTAAACGACATCCTGTGTCCCAAACTGCACCTCTATCTACTCCAGCTAAAGGTCCTGTTCCACTCTGTGCAGGGCATAGGGGCGGTGCCCATCTCCATTTCTGTAGCCATACAGTTGTGAAAGCACTACAGCAGGGGGCTAGCCCACTGGTAGTGTTGTGTGTTTGACCTTCCCATAATCTTTCTCGTAGATGTTGAGTGCTAAGCAGAGAAAGCAGTATGTACCATTTTTAAAGTCTTTGGTCTAACCCGGCAGGGGTTTGAACTCACGACCTCCCGGTTACAAAGCGAGCACTCTATCTACCCTATTAAGCTCCAGCTACCTGAGGAAAAACCTCCACACCGCCCATGCCATCAGGCAGACGAATCCCGCGATCCAGCAGCGCAGAACGTGATCCGGGAAAGGGATCTGCAGCAGATCAGATGACGATCTGACGATGATCAGGATCTCAGTGATCACAAGTAGACACGCCATCCACGTTTCGTAACCAAGGTACTCACAGTTCCTGTTGAGCAAATAGAAAAAAAAGAAATATGGCCGTGAACAAAGAAGTCGTGGCGCTTCATACAAAATAAAAGATATATCTTCATTATCACCGTTGTGGATCATCATATCATCATCATTGTAAAGGTGTACCGGCCAGGTGTTATCCAATGTAATCTCATGGTAGCACAAGTAGGCTTTCAAGGTCAATTTTCTGGTCATTCTTATAATGTAGTAAAGTTGAATTATCCCCATCCCGTAGCATACTGATATCTGTGAGCCAAAAATACGATGTAGATGTCAGAAAACGGTTGTTTTTCTTATCATTGGCTGGTTCCAGGTACTCGAAATAAAGAGACGTCCCGCTTCACATATGAAATAACAACGAAAATGTGTCACTCAATATCACGCAGATTTTCTGACCCGAACTATTTTTTTTATAATTTTTTTAGGCCCTGAATTAGATATGATGTATCTAAGATACTAGTAGCTTAACTCACGGGTCGTCCATATACCGGTAGACTCGTCGCGACACCACAGCGCCCCCTACCAGATACAGCACCAACCGCACCGTCTGCAGCCAGTGTGAGATGGGAATCCACAGCACGGCCTTCAGGTAGAACGCGTTCAGCTCCATGATCAGTAGCTAGAAAGTTTGCAAGGTGATCGTGGTTAACCTAAAAAAACCCAGATCTCTTTCGATTGCAAGACAGTATCCATTAGCCAGAGGAGTTTTGGCGGTCAATCTCCTCTGGCTAATGAATACTGTCTTGCCATCGAAAGGAATCTGCTTGGAGATAACTTGTGGTTAGGCTTGTTGGCTTAGCGTTCGGATCCTTAGTAGACCCCAATGCTGTGCCATTGGGAAAGGCATTTTACACATATTTCTTTGCTCGACTCAGGTGACAGTGAGTTCCTAGCTTCAGTTAAGGGGTAGAAGGGTTAATGGAGTTGTTGAGCTAAAATGTAAAGGTTCTGGGTTTGAACCCCAAGCAGTCGCTTGGGAAAGGCATTCTACTCCTTATTTTACTGAACTTTTAGGCCTTTTTTGTCAAAGCATTTTACTCCTATTTGCTCACTTGACTCTCCCCACGGATGGGAAGTAAATCCGGAGTTCCCATGTTTGAGAAGGGTGGACGGTTATTTCTGACAGTGACTGAACACTTACACTTGCGATGAACGCGAAGACGCACAGGCACCGTTTGAAACGCCAAGTACGGCTCCAATCGACTTGCGTCCTCTTGCTAGGATAGACCGGAACGTCCCATAGGCTCCGCCAATTGTACAACTGCAAGGAATAGAAAAACATTCAAATTGCAAACTGTTATTTTTTTATTATTGGCGGAAGACCCAAACTAACGTAGAATAGAAAAGTTAGAGCCGGGCTACCCAGGTTAAACAGAAAAAGCAATGAATAATATAAAATGAAAAGACCAGTATTCATTCCCTAAGGTTACCGCAAAGACTGTTTCCTATGTACACGAAGAAGGGAGACTAAACTCACCCTCATGTTCAGATACTCCAGTGTCTTCATACCACACCAGATCCCCAGACTGTTGCACAGGACCACATCCAGAATCCACTGGGAGAACAAGGTATAAAACAGCCGTGAGCACGCAAGTGCCTGTCAATCAAATGTTGGGGTGGAGAGTTTAACGTTTTTGGCATTTATCGTCTCCAATATTAGGGAGTGTACCGGCATACCCATTGCCAGTTTTTTTACGTAAGGTAAAAAAGTTTTTTTTTAACGTAAAATGTTTTTACGTACCCTAAATTGCCCATTTTCTCCCCTAATTAATCCCTCGTTACTCACGTGGTCCCACCAGCACTCCTGAAACTCGGGAATGTGGTGCTCCAGACTGTACTCCACCAACTCAAACATCACACTCAGCACATGGGCAAGCCAGTAGTCACGGAGGGCCAACGCCTGGGAGGACATAAAGAAACCCTTTACCACGTAATAACAGGCAAGAGGATGCAACTGGCAGGCCACATCCTACGCCTATCATGAAGCCAGCGCCACTCAAAGACGGCCATGACCTGGGTGCCATCAGGGGGCAGAAGGAAGAGAGGTCGGCCAAAGAACACCTTCCAAGAGGACCTCAAAAGGGCAAACATAGCTGCTGGGAAGAGGCCGAAGAGGCACCAGCCTTAGACCCAGATGGAAGCTTGCTGCCGGCCCAATGGGCCTGTAGGCACAGGAGGACCTAAGGTCTAAGATAAGGTTACTACGTGCGTCACTTTAGTGCCACCAAGCTTGTCTCAAGAATAGCTGAGACTCACCATTCTGCAAAAATGTCTCCAGGCCCTAATTAATAATCACTAAATACATGTACTGAAGCTGTCAATACCATATCGTACAATGTATGTCCGTCATACAACGCACGACGGAAGCATTGCAATTTGACTATTGATTGTATGGGCCATTTTAGCTAACTTCAAGAGATTTCAATAATTATCGATACTCACATTAAAATAAAACCCCAGGGTGTGCGAAGCCCAGTATATGTCACATTCAGCCTACAAAAAGAATTGAAATATTAGTGTGTTCATCTGTATCGGTAGAAATCACTATAAAATGGGTTTTGAACTGTTTGGGCCTAGTCAAATATTGAAAAGAATGTTGTATACGCTTGAGAATGCAATGATACAAAGAAAGATATACAGTACAGCATTAGTAACATTGACAAATGTTTTTACTAGTTTACCCAAAGCTTTTTCAATACTCTCTCCGGATGTTCGGGGTCCCAAAACGTGCAATTTTCGCCGTACGACTTTCTGGACAGCGGCACCCCTAGCGATACATCCAGGTACTTCAACGACTGCCTGCTCTGGTCCACTGTCTGTGGAATAACGAGAAAAAAACTCTGATTACGAACAGAAAAGTTGTTAGAAATTTGCCAGACAGGTATTTGGTTGCTATATGGCAACTGAAATATTTAAAAAAATCATGACTTTGAATATGACAGTGGTATAATTTCTCTATCCATATAAGTATGACTTAACTGGACAGGTTGACAAATATAGACACAAGCTGACCAGTTTCCTTTTTTTCTGATTTATTCCTATTCTCACACACCTAGAAATATATTTGCAACTTATAAATAGACAAACATTTACCTGGAATAACAGTAAGGTTAGTCCAATCTGGTACAGGACGGAAAGACAGAATAATAGTCTCCAAAAAACTGCAAGAATGAAAGAAAACAAACTAAATTCATTATATCACCATTCCTGTAGATTTGTATTCTGAAGCACTTATCTCAACACCCGCGAAATCCAGACGATAATCAATTAAAACAGACATAAACATAGATCATTTACGTATCAATGAACAGAAAAGGGAATAGCTCGTCTTACCCGGATGCGGCCACTTGAATGGTCCATCGGGAGCGAAGGGTACAGCGGAGACCAGAAAGACCGTCACAAAAATTGCAATGTACCTACGAAACCAAATAAAATGTACCTACGAAACCAAATGCTTGTGTGTACAGAGTTAATGTAACTTAATTTTAACACAACAAACAGGCCGCTACGAATTTCCGTACTGAGTTTCCTTCATCAGGTTAGAATGACCAGTCACCGGGACACGTGACCGTACGAACACAAAAGACCTCTTAGAGTCGGTATGATGGAGCTTTATGACCCTTATAAGACATATGAACCTGAACTATGTAAGGCCGAACAAGCAATCGAGAATGAAGAAAAATTACCTTTTGGCAACGAGACTGTCAGTCGCTGACGACGTTTCGACAAACAGTGCGAAGTAGATAAGAACACACGCCAGCACTGCAGGGACCCAGCTTCTTCTGAGGAACAAACACACTGGTGTGTATTATAGAAGCATTTTGTACAACTTCTTGCAATTGAATTCTACTCTATACCAAATCTTCATGAGAACAGGTGGAGATTTTAGAATGTGTGTATCATATCATGCCCACTTACAATAATATAGACAAAAACATGTCGGATCAAAAAGTCATAAAATACCCTTTCTACTGCGCGCAGAAGCTTCAGTTTGTTTGGGATTGAAAATTTATGAAACCATTAAATGTTTTTATATTATATCGCAGGCAATGTGTTAGTTCAGGCAATGTTTTTCTAAAAGAACCTTACCGAAAAGACGAGGTATTTCCTTTTCCATATTCCACATTGTCCTGACTCCATTCCAGTTTCTTCTTCAGTAAGAATTCGAACGGTAGCATGACGTGGTCATCTGAAGTCATGATCAGCGGGCCGTTGCTCTCACCTCGGCGGGGGCCGTCTCTCTCCTCCCCCGACGGATCGCACACACCGGTACGGTGGACTTCCGCGGAGTTAGACGCTTCGCCCATTTCTACTGGGACCTGTGGGGCTAAGATTAAAAAATCAATTTGTGTGGCTGTTCTGTTTATCGTTTGCACCGCAACGTGTTGCACATTTGGTTAAGTTTTAAAATGTAAATATATACGTTACGTCGTATTGTACAAAACTCCAAGAAGACTAGCTACATACTTGTCTGTTTGTACCTGTATCCCTGCTAATGGAGGAAGTGAAGCACCTATAGCACCTAAAGCAACGTGCTTTATCTTTTAATGTGTTTGACAGTTGAAGTAAATTTGCCAGCCTTAAACACTGGAGTGCGTATTCCAGATCTCGACGTGTCATGTAAATAATGCTTCATATATGTGCTAAACAACATTCCTGTTCGTGCATGTGATCGTGTTTGTAATGTTTGACTAAAATCTACAATTCATGAAATATTAGAGAGGTTCTTGTATGTTGCTATATTGTAAAATTTATAATTTTATTTGCATGAAATCGGTGATGATTAGACGATAAATTTCAATGCATATGGGGGAGGGGGGCATTTACGAAGCAGACGACGGAATTTCTTTTGCCACATGTTGCAGCAGTTTATTGGAAAACGCAGGTGAAAATTAAAGCAAAACTCACCTCTGTATTCTTCACTTGGCAAAAATCGTACATAAACTGCCAACTTATGTGCTTATACTCATACTTTTAACTTTTAGAAACATTTTGGACGACGTCAAAAAGAACTGTTGACCTATAAACAATAACCGGTCGAACCACCTGAAACTATGCGCATGCGTTCTGCGCAGCATTCTCAAGGTTATGTTTGAATTTCGCGCTTTTTTTCTGAAAGATATTATTTTGCTTTGCCTCATATTTCTAAAAGCCTGCCTGGATCCATTTATAAACGCGGTATCTGCCGGTGATATTTAGGACACATAAACACACAGGCCAGGTACATGCAGGTGTTGTATGAATGAATGAATGAATGAATTTTTATTTACGTGTCTTGCGACTTGCTGTTGTAAGGCTACAGCAAGTACTTAGTACATGGATGACATGAACCGCAGACTCCAAATCTAATAAGATAGGGTGAAAAAAAAGGCGGGCCAAAATAACAAGGTTCCTAAATTTTCAAATTTGACATCATAAACCCTGTTAAACAAGAAATGATACCTATGTCGCGATAGATTTATTGCCAACTATTACGACAACTAGAAAAAGCGATATCTGCCGGTACCATTTGGGACACATAAACACACACACATCATCTGCAGGTGCTTTAAACACTCCGACCCTCCCGGCACATCCGGCCGGAACTATAGCGTTATCTCACCCTCCCGGATGTATGACGTCAGCGCGCGCAGTGTCCCCCTCCCCGGGCCTTCCGCCGTTGCCATGGAGATGGAATACCGGGGGTTAACCTGAAGGTCGTTCCACGGAGCGGTTTGATGCAAATATTGCCCCGCGTCCGGATATTAAACTTATCAATGGCGGCGGCGTGAATTCAGTTGTATGTTTAGCGTTAAATACGGTCTTTGGATGAGTGTGAAGGTCTTTCAGCACCAAGGAGAGGGACAGTGTTAGTGTGAATGTCTTTTAGCACTATGGAAATCGGTCCTTTCTTAATTAAAAACGTTTCCTTATTTATGTCATGTCATTCTTTTCAACATTTCTTTTTCTATTTAACAATAAAGCAATGGATTGTTTTTGATTTGGTTGAATCCAAAGCAGTATACATACCCACAAATACATTTATATACTGAACAAGTGCTCAATCATGACATTTCACAAGACAACACACTTTTTTCAATGTTCAGAATCCGTAAAAATTGTAGCTTGCCTTTGCAATACTAGTCAGTCTAGTACGACTACCTCTAAAATCGGCGCCATGTTGTTGTGGACTACATACCGTTGCTCATTTTTACAATGAATGAGCATCCATTCATTCGAATTCATTAGGAGCAAGCGGTTTGCGTCATGACGTCAACACAACACAAAAGGTCAGGGGTGACTCACGAAATGGCGGGAAACGGTGCAATTACAGGGCGACCTTCGGTGATCTTTACTGAAGTCTGACTAACGATGTTCGATAATTGTCCTTCTAAGAATCAAGAATGAAGGCCGATTCTCCAATCACCCTGTCATACTGGCTGAGTCAAAAGCCAGCGAGCCTGTTTACGAAGTGGTCGATGCAGTTACTAGTCCTTGTACCCTTGCACGTACACACACACATACGAACGCACGCACGCACACAAACGATCACGCGCACACGCACATACTCTATTTTGACCCTGATGAGGGTTTAACGACATAATGCAACCGAAAAGCCTCCACTCTTGTTTGTGATGTTGGAATCCAGTGGGTCTGTTTCCTATCAAACAGACGTTCATGACCGCTTAAATAAAGTGTAGGAAGATGATTTATATTGAACATAGAAGCACGTCTACCTTTCATATAGTATGTGAATCAAGGGGACAGACTCCGCTATCAGCTCACTGTTGTAGCCGGCAACAAGATATTGCACAGAGCCTGATGTTTCTACACAAGGCAGCTGTATATATCTGTCAGTTCAGTTAAGACACGCAAGAAGACATTACACATTTGCACTGCACATCCCATTGTTTCTACATAGACGGTTAGCGCTGACATGTATTAAAATGTCTATGCGGTATACCATTTCTGTACAACTACATAATGACCTATAAGTGTTTATGACCAGCCGCCCACCCGTGTTTAATGGGGCGAATAATGACCCATTTGTGGCGAGAGAGCTTTAATTATGAACATCTGAAAATTAGGTCAACCCTGCCTTTTAATCAACTAACAGTTACTGTCACAGTGTGATGACTCTATGCTATGGTGTGCTATTGTGTTTTTTTTTAAGTTCCGAGGTACAAAATACAAATGTAGTTACAACTTGCGCTGTATTCTGTTATGTTTTGATGTATAATGTGTTTTCAACAATGTAGAATATTGTATCCGTACAATAACTTGAATAAGTTTCTCCACACAACTGCTACCTCCTCTTCTTAGACAGTTCTTCCTTCATTGTTATGTTGTGTTGTACATGTAACTGAATTGTGTTACGTAGAGCGCAGCTGTATGGTGTTTTATATTATGTTTCGTTGTAACGTTATACTGTTATAATCAGGTTTTCCCGGCCACAGCTGCCACCCCTATTCACTCTCTCCGTTCGTTTTAATACTGTCGTACTGCGGTTGAGAAATGTAGTCAAGCAAGGACATTGTACACAGATATAATGTTCTTGAGTGATCACTGAACTGTGTTGTGTTGCAATACTGTATAGTGTATTGTGAGGTGTTGTATTCTGTAATGTGTTGTATACATCATACTGTTATAAATATCAGACCTTATAATCAGTTTTTCCCGGGAACACTAGAGCACAACTGCCAACCCCCATTCACTGTTCCGTTCCTTCATGCAGTGTATTGTGTTGCAACCCTACTAGGTGTTGTATTGTGTGTAATGTGCTGTATCAAGAAGGTTCTTTTTTAACCTCCTTGGTTGTATACTTAATACTTTTGTACTGATCAGGTTTTCCCGGGCACAGATGCCAACCCCCATTCACTCTCCCGTTCCTTCATTTTAGCTGTATATTGTGTTTCAAGCCTATGTTGTATGTTGTGTGGCGTTGCAATTGTAAGGTGTTGTATTGTGTAATGCGTTGTATACATTATACTGTTATAATCAGTTTTTCCCGGGCACAGCTAGAGCACAACTGCCAACCCCCATTCACTCTCCCGTTCCTTTCATGGTCACTGACAGTGTGTTCAACACTGTGTTGTAAGGTGCTGTATTTTGTTTTGCGTTGTAGATAGAACTTTATTGTACAATAATTGCAAATGGTACAATGTATGGCAACGTACAAAAAATATTGAATAAGACCTAATATGGAATAAAACCTAATAAAAATACTAATAATACTCAACGGAAGGGCTAGTTACTGTCTTATAATTGAGTGAGGCTAATCACGAGTTTCGCTACTTTTTCGGGTATATAATAAAAAAGCAGTCTTATATATATTTACCTTTTTTTCTATTGTGGGAATCATCGTTATAATCAGGTTTTCCCGGGCAAAGCTGCCACCCCCATTCACTCTCCCGCTCCTTCATTCACCCCGGGTATCTATTATTTATGAATGACGTGTGGCACATGCGCACGGGGCCCAGTGCGAGATGTTGTGTACATGTTGTCGCTTCGTCGTCTGACCCATGCAAGATGGGCCGAAATGGCCTGATGTGGCTAAACCAGCGACTGCCAGCTACCCTAGCAGCTTGCTTCACCCTTCTAGTTCTTCCTCCCACCTCAGGTAAGCTCGGTTCTGTACCGTTTTGCAGAAAAACGTCTGGTTTCGAGCCTCCTTTTTGTGCCCGAGCTCCCAGTGCGCCGCCATGTTTTACTGTGTAATGTTGTCCTCTTCGAGTCCGCCTCCGTAAAATATTATGACACGAAACATAAATTTTGTAGCTAGCTGTCACGGGACACTTCTAGAGCGTATGCATCTAGAAATAGCTGTATGTTAACGTAGATTCTTAATCTAGCTGTCGTTGGTTTTGTTTACGTGGCTGCACGACGTTGCACCAAATAATATAACGGTCAGGCTAGGTTGGTTTCGAACCCGGGACTCTAGGTTCACCTGCGCGGCTTCCACAAAGGCGTCGGGGTGGGAGGGCATTTCTCTTTGTAAAGGGGAAATTATAATGCTACTGCTGGATTTAGGATTAGGATTTAGAGCTGGAATTATCTGTTGAAACGTCTGGAAGGTGTGCATGGCTCTGTCAGTACCAGTTTTTGTTTTGTTTTTTTCTTAAATGGCTTAATTACCCATTATTAATATTATGATAATGATCATTCTGGTATACTCCTTAACACCTGAGCGAAGTGAGGAAAGTCGTGTAGAGTGCCTTTTCCAAGGGCACAACGTTGGTGACATGGCAGGATTCGAACCCAGGACCTTCTGATTCAGAGCCGAATGCTCTGTCGTACGTTACGCCACACGACCCCACAGTTTAGCTAA